ATGGAGGACTTTCTGACATCATACAACCTACCTAGGTTGGAACAAGAAGAAATTGAGACCCTAAATAGACCAATAACAATCAAGGAAATTGGCAACGTAATAAGAAAACTTCCAACAAAAAAAAAACCCTGGTCCAGGTGGCTTTCCAGCAGAATTCTACAAGACATTTAAGGAGGAGCTGTTACCAATCCTACTGAAGGTATTCCAGGCGATTGAAAGGGGTGGAACTCTCCCCAAATTATTTTACGAAGCCTTCATCACATTGATACCCAAGCCAGGTAAAGATCCAATAAAGAAAGAGCACTACAGGCCAATATCTTTGATGAACATAGATGCTAACATTCTCAACTAGATCCTAGCAAACCGGATTCAACAACACATCTCAAAAATCATCCATCATGACCAAGTAGGCTTCATTCCTGGGATGCAAGGCTGGTTCAACATTCATAAAACCATAAATGTAATTAAATACATCAACAGATGTCAAAACAAAAACCACATGATTATATCATTAGATGCAGAAAAAGTTTTTGATAAAATCCAGCACCACTTCTTGATAAAAACCCTTGAACATCTAGGCATATGGGGAGCATACCTCAAAATAGTAAAAGCCATCTATGAGAAACCCACAGCCAGTATACTCCTCAATGGACAAAAATTGGAAACATTTCCCCTGAAAACTGGAATAAGACAAGGATTCCCACTCTCACCCCTCCTGTTCAACATAGTATTGGAAGTCCTGGCTCGAGCAATCAGAGAAGAGGAGGCAATCAGGGGTATCCAAATAGGAAAAGAGGAAGTCAAGTTATCTCTCTTTTCAGATGACATGATTGTTTACCTTGAAAACCCAAGAGAATCTGTCAAAAACCTCCTTACACTGATAAAGGCCTTTGGCAAAGTCTCAGGATACAAAATAAATGTACAAAAGACAATCGCATTTCTCTACACCAATAATGAACAAACAGAAACCCAAATAAAAAACACAATTCCATTCACAATAGCCACACACAAAAAAAGAAATACCTTGGCATCTTCCTAACCAGAGACGTGAAAGACTTTTACAGTGAAAATTACAAAACACTGCTCAAAGAAATCAAAGATGACACAAACAAGTGGAATAATATCCCATGCTCATGGATTGAAAGAATCAACATTGTGAAGATGTCCATCTTACCTAAGGCAATCTACAAATTCAATGCAATACCCATCAAATTGCCAGCAGCAACATTCTTCTCAGACCTAGAAAAAACAACACAGGAATTCATATGGAAACACAAACGTCCAAGAATAGCCAGAACAATCCTCAGCAAAAAAAAAAAAAAAAAAAAGCAGGTGGTATCACATTACCAGACTTC